TTGCCATTGTTTGCTGAAGTTGTCTCTGTTTGTCTGTTAGCAAAATATCTCATAAACCTTATTGGACTTTAATGAAACTATCAGTGGATGTGGGTCGATGTAGGTCTATAACTGATCAACTTTTGGTGTCAGTTCCATTCAAGATGGTTGCCGRGGTTAATCAAASTTAGAAAACACAAAAATGGTCTATTTGGTCAATTTATAGCTGACAGTCATCCTCTATAAATACTCTGAATGCAAAGAGAGAAATAGTTTTCAGTTGACTTTAGGTTGGATAGAGTCTTAAAACAAGCAACCTGGTGTGAGTCCAAACGTGGTTATTTGTATTTTMAAGTTATTCTTTTTTAGGTTTAGTTGTATTTTCCATTCTCTTGTTTATCATTGGTAGAAACTTGTCTTTAAAACAGTTTGTGTCAAATTACATACTATAAATAGTATCTCTTAAAGCTGGTACATACATATATATTTATAAATTAGTTTTATCCTTTAAACAGAAGGTTTTGGRCATCATTGACTGGGGTTAAATTCTCCTTCATTCCTGTTTCTAGATCTTCTTTTATGAGGACAAGAACTTCCAGGGCCAGTACTACGAATGCAGTAGTGACTGTCCTGAGCTCAGCTCCCACTTCAGCCGCTGTAACTCCATCCGGGTGGAGGGTGGGGCCTGGGTGGTCTACGAGAGACCCCAGTATATGGGCCACCAATATGTCCTCATGCAAGGGGAGTACCCCACCTTCCAGAGCTGGAGCGGCTTCAATGACACCATCCGCTCCTGTCGCCTTATTACCTATGTAAGACAAGTCCCATTAACGAGCCATGACCTCTGAAGTTCACTTGTTAACAGAAAGTCTGGGTTTGATGTTTCAGCCATCCAGCAGTCACAGGCTCCGCATCTACGAGCGTCCAGACTTCACTGGCCAGATGATGGAGCTGAGTGAGGACCTGCCCAGCCTGCAGGACCGCTGGCGCTTTCGCGAGGTCCACTCGGTCCATGTCCAGGACGGCACCTGGGTCCTCTACGAAAACCCAAACTACCGGGGGCGCCAGTACCTGCTGGAGAAAGGTGAATACAGACGCCACTCCGAGTGGGGGGCTCTCCATCCAACCGTGGGCTCCATTCGACGGGTTGTGGACTTTTAGTCATCTTTTCTTTTTTTCATTCTTTGACTAAAAGTAGATCATCTGTATTTGAATGGTTTTGTTTGATTTCTTTTAATTGCAAAGCAAATACAAAATAAAAAGACAACAAAAAAACTTTTTTTATATTTGATTGGCAAAATTAGATTATGAACTTTTAAATG